GCGAGTCTCGCCGTCCGCGAGAGCCTAGAGCAGTGCAAAATAAGCCTCGGCCAACGAACGAACCCAATTACGGCGGTTTTGTGTGGAACCTTCTTATGCTGCGAAGTAAGTACCCCAGCGCTTGTTCCGGGTGTGCGTGAAGGTAGCAGGGTCGTGCGGAGAAGGCCCATCGGCGGCCAGGAGGCTCCGCTGGACGAAAATGTCGAAAAGAAATAGTGGATGAGTCATGGGGACGAGGGCGAAGATGGCCCCGAATGTCAGCTGGTTCTGGGTGCTCGTGTTTAGGGTGTGTTGAGGGCGTGGGCGGTCCCTGGGCTTGCGCCGGGGGTGCGAAGGGTGCCTCTGTCCCCAGAACCCTGCAGGAGACGGTTGGAGGGCTGCGCGAGGGCAAGATAAGCAGCCGAGGGCGTTGGAGGCGAAGGAGGAGCGAGCAGGCGAGAGGCATTGATCCCCGAGCGCCAGGACCTGCTCTCGCCAACACCTTTTCCTCGAGTGCCTCGGCCTCGGCCCTGGCGCTGCTGGGGCCTAGGCTGCGCGAGCGGGGCTGCCCCTGGTCGAGTCCTTTGTGGCCAGGGCGAGGATGAGGCCATTGGGCGAGCAGAAGGGCTGGGAGGGAAGGCGCCGAGGGATTCGCTGCAACAGAAAACCGTTATCGAAGGGCCTTGCAGTGCAGTATTGAACAGGAGGTGCCTTTGGTATTTTCTTAAAGCAGATTGCTCACTCCCGGAGGTGCTGAGGGCGTGGAGGGGGCTCTGGGGGGGATGTCACTGTTGCAGTTGTTGCACAGGAGGCTGAGTTTGCTCCTGGAACGTGTGGTTTGACATATGTCTTTGTATTGGGTGGGACATGAAGGCACTCTTGCACACAACACCAAAGTTTTCATTGTGCTAGATCATGTTCTTACAGTTTTGAGCTAGGAAAGTGTTAAATGTATTTTCTATAAATTTATAAATAGGTATATGTAATTATAAGTTATGTGGTTATGTGCCTGAAGGACATGTTTGATAAGTGGTAATACATCAGCAGTGGCAAGGGAGATCTGGAGTTTCTCATCCTGGAGTGTATGTGGTGGAGCTATAGCTTCATTGGAGTTCCAACAAAGTGTGGGTATGCTATACCGATACCTTGATGCAGAGGAAATACCTTTGGTCGGTGACCATAGCCATACCATGAATTTCTACTTATTACTCTGTAGGTTTTTTTTTGTACGCCATTGCCTTTCATTGTGTGTGCTGTTATCATTTCAAGATTTGACACCATCCACTGTCATCTCTGAATCACGGCTAACATACTAAAGTCCACCATGGTAGTGTTGGTGTGTCAAGTAGTAGCTGCAGCCTCGTTGCTTTGTGCTCTGTGAAAGGCTGACAAACTTCCACTGCACAGCAAGATAAGAGTTTGGAGTCTATCTTTAGTTTGATGTCAAATTGCATGGGAATGTTGCAAGCTCTTTTTTTGTCATAATATATGCCATTGCAAGAATACAAGTATGAGTGGGCAGAGATAGACATAGGGGTGTGGTTTTAATAGTTGTTATGTTGGTATGTTTACGCCTCATTTTAAGAAACTTTTCTTTGAAGAAATGTTTTTTGGATTCAAAAATATATATATATATAATTTTTTGTTTTTATATGAATGGTCTTATCAAATTGTTCACAAAAAATGTGTATTTCACGTGTGTCACCAATAAGAATGAATTTTTTTTTCAGCATTTATCAAGGCATGTACTTGTCACTGTTTTATTATTTTCATTTATGCAAAATAGTAGTACTATTTCTGTCAAAATACCATCAGCGTATGAAAAACATGTTTAGTATTGTTCAAAGATCATGTTGCAATGATATATGGAGGAAAATAGCTTTGTTTTTCAATTGTCAGGTTGATTTTTTTGTTATGCAGTTATAGATCTTTGTTTTTTTATGTGCCGGGTGAATATGCTGTTTGCTGTATTTTTAAATGTTTATAGTTTTGATTATTTATTTATTATGTTTTCTGTTAATACTTATAGATAGCTGTAGAAGCACCTAATCACCATCTAATCAGAATATGATGACTAGGATTACTTAATTTGTCCACTACTTGTGTTTTTAGAAAAAACAGGTCTTTTTTGTTTACTTTCATGATTATGAAAGTATGAGAATGATAAAGGTAATGATAATGATGATATTAACTTTCCTCAAAATCAAAAGGAAATAGATAAGCGAGATCAGGTAGGCCTAGTAATTAACTCCTAGGTAACAAAGTGCTTCTGGGAGCCATCTGTGCATAATCAAATAAAGCCTAAGTATATATGCATTTCTGACATAATGAATAGAATTATTTCTTTTAGGAACGAGGAAGTATATTTGTTAGATGACTAATTATATAATGTATTCAGCTGTTCAGTATCTTGAAAAGAATTTATCAAAAATTCTTCACAGTGCTCTGGAAAGCAGTTTGCAAACATTCAGATCAGGTCTTTGGTACGAGGCAAGATATTACCTCGAGTTCTATAATGGCAACGTTCGTATTGTCTGTAGGAGTATAAGTTGGATGTTTGATTACTTATTGCAAATTTTTACATACAAGAAGTTGAGATCAATACTTTAGTGACAAGACTTGTGTATAAGTTCATGTATCTATGCAGGCTATAGTTACAGCATTGGTACCATTGAATAAAGATAATTAGATTATACCCATTGAATAATTGAATTATACACATGTCGTGTTTTATGCATGGGATGAATAAGGTTGTAATTTGTACTAATTTACTTGTGTGGATAATTACACAGGCACCGTGGTAGATAATTCCCTACACCTTCCCACGTATGAAACCGTAATGCATTTAAATGTGCAAATTTCCATTATCGGAAAAGTGCACACCCTTTTTTTATTTTTTATATGTATTTTCATAGTACATGTTAAAGTACTGTATATTTATGACACAATAAGTAAATCAGTGGACATGCTGCATGATAAGGAGAAATGTCAGCTTTAGTAGAATTCAGAGTTATATGTACTGTAAATTTTAGGCTTTCCATATCAAAGAGTATCATGTAAAAGTATTATTTGAATGATGTAAGTGAAAGGTTTAAGGATCTTGAATGAATAATGAATGAAAATAGTAAGTTGTCGCTAACGTTTGTAGATGAAAATAACAAATAGATTTTCTAGGTTTAAAACCCTGCAAACCTGGAGTACCGTGTTCCTGAAAAGTTGATGAAAGTTCAAGTAGAAAAAGTTCATTGATTTACTTTTTTCATTTGTACTTCACATGCATATGCAGCTCACAGGTCACACCCTAGTGAGGATGATGAACATTTTGTTGGTGTATTGTTTTGTGTCGTATCTTCAGTGGATTCTAAGATGTTCTTGTCCTGAACTTCATTGTAGAGGCACAAAAGTATTGATATAATTTTTTTTCTAATGGTGTGGTTAGTAGACTGACATCTCCAGATTAATCTTTTGTTTGAACCTGATCTATGTTGTATTTGAGATATGCAAATCAGAGAGAGTAAGGAAAATGTAAAAGTAGTTTTTTTATTATTTTCCTGAAGCAAAACCTCATTCTAAATTTAAATGTAAAACATTCAGGAACAATTTAGCTTGCTGTACCTGGGAGGGGGGGGGTTGCTTTCTGAGTGATAGAGCTGTGATAAGAGACTTGATCTGTCTGGATATCTGGGGCATTTGTAGAAGATACTCTCCAGCTGTTGAAACATGTATGAAAAATGTATTTTGGCTTTATTGACATTTTTAAGAAAGAATAGAAGGGTTTATCAATTGTTTCCCATTGCTGTCTCACTTTGCATACTTGTTTGGATGAAGGAAATATCTTTCATGATACCTGTTCTTAGAATGTTGCCTTTCCTACGGTGGCTTTCATAATGACAGATTCATTTGTTTATTGCATTTGATAATGTAACCACAAATACACCCTAATGCACCCTGATATAAGGTATATTCTTTAACTAGGATTGAAATGTAAATTCATAACAAATCATTATCTCAGTCTGACTCATAAATAATATGATAACAAAGACCGTTGTTGTTAGTGGAAATGAGGATAGTTTGACCTTTCATGAGATACAACAATATCTTATGCTTGTTGACGGAAGTTGAAAGGAAGGATATTGATCTGTTGGCCTGTTTAGGTAGATAAACCTGGACTGTATTAGTATTCTTAAAAGTGCAAGTGGATTTATTGTATATGGTGTTTTGTTATAAATTTTTATGTTGTCTTTTTCATATTTGTCTTTATTTTGCTATTATTGTTATTTTGATAATTGTCAGTTATTTTTTTTTTTATTGATCATTTTAGTTAGAATTCTTATTGATGATGAATATTAATTATTATTGTTGTCGTCATTGTTTTCGTTGTGGCTGCTATTGTTATTGTTATTGTTATCACTTTTGGTTTGTTTATTATTACTGTCTTGCAGTCATTATTATTCGTATCCTTATTTTTGTTGTCTCTGTCACTGTTGTCATTGTCATATTCTTATTGTCAAGTCTGTCAGATGATGATGTTATTTTTTGTTAATGTTGATATATTTTGTTTTCATTATTGTTATCATCATCTTCATCAATGATCAGTGATCAGTCCTGATCATCATTGACCAATCATCATTGTCAATCATGATTATTGTAACTATAATTATCAGCATTAGTTTTTCATTATCATTATTATTGCAGTTACTGTTGTTATTGTTATTGTTTTTCTTAATTTTATTTTTTATATTATAAAATCATATATTTTATAGAAAAAAACATTATTCCAATTTTAGCCTTATACAGGTTCTTTGAAAATGGTATACCTGGTGATTATAAAATCAGCAGACAGTATGGTGATATGTTACTGTTGTAGGCCATGTAAGCATATCTCATATTATACTTAAGGATGGCGATTATTACAAACTCAGAGGGGAGGGTCTTTTAATCAAAGTAGGGGTGCACCAGTTTTATTTTTCTGCTCAAAAGGAGATGCCAATCATAACAGAGGATCTTTAGGGAACTTGACCATCCTACAGATGATATTTTGGTATTTGAAAACACTGTCTTTGTATCATGCTGCAACAGCATTGAAGTGACAAACATTTCAAACGCCCATATCTATGATTGTGCATTGTCCATAGCCATAAAATCAGAAAGGGATAAAATTTTCTAAATATTAGAAATGATCTAGGGTATATACATGTTCACTATGATTTTAGTTTGGTTACACATAGATGGCTCTACAAGAACTTGTCACTAGGATGTCAGTAACTAATGTAGTGTATCTCCTGTTATATCTTTATTATTATTTTTTATTTTTTATTTTTTTTTGTCTATGATTTTACTCTTAACTTTTTAGTATTTTATAGACATTATAATAATGTCATTACAAAAGATAATAACAACATTAACCCAACAGCAATGGGAAAATGGTGCATTCCTCTTGGCAATGTTGGCAATGTTGAGTTAAATGTTTCTGCACATAGATGGCTCTGCCAGTGCTTATCCACATAGAAGTCAGTTAGTGACCTCACTTTTCCTTGAAAAAGTGGGAAATCTTTTTTTAACTAATGCTATTAATGTTTACACTTATTTTTGTTATAAACATTATAATTACTATATTGTTACTGACATTACCAACAGCAGTATTAAATTCCAGAAAATACTGAAAATCAAGGAAAAGGGTAAACAGGTGGGACAGGTAGTTCTTGTAATTGGCTCATTGGTGACTTAGTACTTGTGAAGCCATCTATATGTAAAAACAATTACTAAATTAAATACACAATGGGCATGGTATTTATGCACATGCCATCCCTGGTGGCAAGTTGTTAATATTAGTAGTATTAGAATAAAAAAAAAAGAAGAAAAAAAAAAAGAATGGCAAATCAAATGTGATCACGAGAGCGCCCCATTATTGACTTTTTGATGACTTCCATCTGTGTTTAAGCAAAGCTTTCAAAATGAAACCACAGTGGACAGTATGTGTTTAGACTATAAGACCTTTTCATTTCCACATGTAAAACCCTTATGGGTGTATATCAAGAGATCAGTGTGTTTTGATTGACTGCAATTTCATATTTGTAAATAGTTCATGTAGGCAGGGCTTCAAACAAGAAAAATTAGGAGTTTCTTAACCCTTAGTCACCGCAGGATTACAGTTCATGATCATCCCAGTGCCAGGATCCTTTTTCTTTCCATGTAAGGATGGATCCTTTGTGGTTTTACGATTCAAGGGTGAGAAACGCCATCTCAGTCAAAATGTGCTAAAGTGAAATATATTAGATGAATTGCAAAGTAAATTGTGGTCACAGATCTCTCACTTGAAATTTTCAGTTTTAAGGAATGTACTGTGTCAAATTGTTTGATCAATATAAACAAACTAGGATTAAGCCATTTTTTCTGGGGGTTTCAATGAAAATCAATATGAAAGCATTGATTCACTGGTATGTCATTGCAGATGTTTACACAGAGAATAAAGGAAAAAAATCCAGCAAAATATCTTGGGTGCTTTATCTGTAGGTAATTGGCAGAAAGTATATTTTGAGGCAGACAAGGAAGACATTCCCAAAATGAAACATTCCATCTCCATTCTCTGTACTATTAGCTTGATACCTGGATTCATAAGAACTTAGTCTAGTGAGAAAGAGATGTATCAACATAGCCTGTCACATTTCAACTTTTCAAATTGACAGTGACTCTGCAGCCCTTACATGCAACATCATGTTGTTTTCTCTTAAATTGTCTGTATTGCAAGGTTGATTTTGTTGTCAGTGTGATAGCAGTTTGCTGTATTTGCAATTACCAGTGAGATTACAACCGTTCAATTTTTGTTCATATTTGTTGAATGTATATGAATTGGGAATTAAAAAACTCTTGAAGAGGGGAAGCTATTGCTGGTGAGGTGATAGGAGGTAAAGGTACTGATACAGAGGTTAGGATGAAGAAAATGTTCTCATTCTCCAATATAAACAAATTTGGATAATGTGTCAGTGAGGTTTAGATAAAGTACACCCTGTGTTTGTATTGCAGCAGAGATTCTTTGACATATAAAAGAGTATTGTAAGGAATGAAAAGATGGAAATTTATGCAGTACCTCCTTGTAACAGCATTGATGCCGAGTGTGCCACAGTGGTGGGAGGTTCTTAGCAAGACTAAAAATTTGTGCCCAGTAATTTTTGATACCAGCAGCATATCTAACCCCTTGGATCTGGTTGCATGGTGGAAATCATGGAGCTGAAAACCCCGGGCAATGGGTTAAGTAATTGGCCAATTTTCCGGGCGTGCAGCGCGTAGGCTGGGTACGCACACGCATGAGCAGTGACAAGACTCTGTGCCTCCCCTTTGAAAAATTGTTTTATGTAAATTTTTTAAAGCTTTATCGTTTTTTTCGAATTTCCATATTTGTCTCTTTGATTTGCTTTATCCAGATGGTAATTACTTATTTTCCTTGCACAGCCTCCATATCATCTCTCTCTGTAGTAAATAGCTCAGTACAAGAAAAAAAATATATGGAACATTTGGTTATTTATGTCATATATCTCTCTTTTTTAGGAATTTTCAATTTTATGTTATGCAACTTGCACTGCCGGTCACTGCAACCAGGAATGCGGTGCACAGCATGTAAATAGTGTCCTTCCTGGAGCTGGCACTTTTCCAGTCACTGCTTACACATGTCACATTCCGCATTCGTTTATTTATGGGAATAATGCTAAAGCCCCTTCTAAGCAAAAAAAAGACAAATCACACTTGTGCACTCGTTGCGAGTCTTTTCCGTCACCCTGGCTTTCTCTCATGATGGCAGTTTGCGTCACCTGGACTGCAACCAATTTGCCCGTCTGGTGGCATGTTCAGATCACCCGGGTAGCTGCCCAAGTTTTTCCTTGATGTGACCGCAACGTCATCCGGGTCCAAGGGGTTAACCCACTCACAATAGATGAGGTCTTAAAAGAATGTGAAACTGTTGTTCACTTGTTTGTCTCATGGAGGAGATAAAGCTGCTGAAAAGTAGAACAGAAAACCTTCCGCTAAAAAAATTGTGTATGGTGCATCCACCAGCTTAAGAGATTGGGGTAAACATGTGTCCTGTGCTGATTATTTTCACTCACAGTGGGTGCCATAAGTTAATATTTTTTGTTGTTTTAATACCTGGATTTAGAAATAAATGTGATCAATGACATGATGTATAGAATATAAAGCAACCTATTGCTGTTGTTAGTGTTAGTAATTGGGTAGAAAAGAAACCTTATGTTTATATATTTGTTATGAATCATATATTCATGAGAGAAAAACATGTGACATGACTTTATGTAGTTTCTTTTTGTGTGGTCTTTGGGAAAGAAATAAACCTATTGAAACAGAATATAATGTTCATTTGCTATGTCATGTTATTATCAGGGAGAAAATATCCACATTTTTGTTCTGAAACAAGGAATATGATAATGGTTTTATTTCTATGCCTATTGCTTAATTCTTTGAGAGCTCCAAACTAAGAGATCTGAAGCACACAGAAGAATAATGAAAGTCACTGAAACAACACAGTCTGGGTGTCATTGGCTTAAACCTGATTGCAGAATCACTCTTGTAAACATCCATATCCGAGGTAGATGACGTAATGTGCTAAGTTTGTTGGTTTTGGCGCGCCTTGCTGGGGATGCAGTGTACCTAAAATGTATGTTCAAAGGATAAGAGTGGTATCATGTACTGTCCAATTTAGTTCTGTGTTAGTTTTCACTTGGCAAAAAAAAAAAGAAAGAAAAAAAAAAAAAAAACGGATGAATCATTATTATTACTTATTTCTTAAATATTATTATAATAACAGGTTCTTTTACCAATATTGACTATAGTTGAGACAGTCATAAACCTTACACTTTCTTTAGTAAGTGAGACATGGCACTGCTTATTAGATATTTTCTATCATAATTTACCTTGATAATACTTTTAGTTTAAAGTTATTTTAATATTGTTTTGTTGAAGCATGCCATGGAAGTTAATTGGCTATGAATGCCTTTCAAATTGCTAATGTTATGTATTGTTTATTGTAACTTTATTATAAGAAATAATATCATATGCTGCACAGACCATTGGTAAGAAGGGATTTTGCACTGCTCATGGGTGGTCATATCTGTGAAATAAGCGAGTTCTGTTGGTTGTCAGTAATGATAAAGGGAGACTGAAAATTTGTGTTTATCATTTATTGACGTATATTTACCATGTGGATACAGTCTTGAGGTTTTTGTAACTTAACATGTTAAAGAGTATAGAAAATTAAAGAAGATATATGATTGAAACTAAATTGACTTGCTTAAATTTATTGGATAGATCACATGAAGTTATAATGATGTAGATTTATAAAGGGTTTTTGTAACAGTTGAAAAAAAGTTGAGCACTACAAATTGTTTGGGATTATAGTCTATTGTATTCATAGATTCAGAACTGTGCCAAATGGCAAATCAGCTATTGGTATATTATCCTTTTTCAGAATTTTATCATTGGCACATATACATGCATATGCACAGAAATTTGTGCTGGTGGTTATGTGCTGTCATTTGTATTTACGATATGCAGAGGAGGATGCATAAAAATCTAGTGGGTGAAAGTTTTTATATAAAACACTATGTTGAAGAGAGAAGGTGATGGCAGATTTATTGATTTATTGATATTTGTCTTTAAGATATTGTGTGCAAATTCTCTGCATACTTATTTTGTTTCTTTGTCTTTCCAGGTATGGAGGTGTAAGAAGTGTTACCCACTAGTCATTTGGTTCCAACAGTAAATCCTTGATCATGAAAATGGTTTTGTCACAGCGTCAAAGAGAGGAACTGTAAGTTGACACAGCTATTCTTAGAGAGGGAGAGGGAGGGAAAGTAGTGTGTGAATAAGGCAGAAATCAGAAGAAATGGAAGGGTAGGGGAGATGGTAGGAAGCAGGGCACGATAGAAAGGGTTGCCCGATTGTCCAAGCAGGTGTAATTAAGGGAAGGGCAGCCAGCTTTTATGTATGGCTTAACCTCCCAGAGGAAGTTCAGACTTCAAGAGTTGCTCAGTAGAAATACCTAATTGATTGATAAGTTCGCAGATAATCTCAAATATTATATGTCTTTATGAACTTATTTGTTGCAGAAAGTGTGTTCATGTTCTTGACCTTTACAGTGATTATAGTAATGAAGCAGTCCATTTACCCTGGTCCATTTAATTAAAGCCCCTCCTTGAATACATATATTTTGAGAAGTTAAGTTGGATTTAATCAATTTAAAGCTACTAACTATGGTTATTGATATGTATGTAATTGTACTTCATTGCATATAATCCACAGTGAATAAGGATTTCAACCCTGTTAATTGTATCTATTTTTGGTGGAAGAGTAGGCAAGAACACATTTTGGGAGGAACGTGACTTCAAAGTAGAGAGAGGGACAGATTGGCAGCCAAACAGGCAGGGGGAGCGGGGACATGACACGAGGAGGAAGAGTTGCAATTGATGAATTGAGGGAAGTATGAATGGAAGAAAGAAATAAGAAAAAAATGAATGAATGGATGAAAGGATGGCATGATAGGTGGAGAAAGAAATTGGGTTAGAGGGGAGAAGTCATTTACCATTGAAAATCAGCCTGTTTTATGTAGAAAGATTTTAGAAATTTGTATTTTGTTTATTAGAAGCAGTGATTCCAGGTTGATAGCTAGAAATCAATGGTCCTGAAATTTCCATGCCCTTTCAGTTTTAGCTTTTGAATGAGAGAATGAGAAATGATTGTGTGAGAGGGAGGAAGGGAAATTAATGAAGAGCATATAGGAAGAAAAACAAAAAAGATAATTGATATTTATTTTCAAGACAAGAACTTTACCATATAGAAAATCTCCTCATTTATTTGTTACCACAAGTGTTTAATGATTCCAATATTTTCCTTTTAGTAATAAGGCCATAGCTGACTACTTGTGCAGCAATGGCTACATGGATGCCTTGGAAGCCTTCAAGGCCGAAGCAGACATGCCTGGGGAGATCGAACGGAAATATGCTGGTCTCTTGGAAAAGAAGTGGACCTCAGTCATCAGGCTCCAGAAAAAGGTATGTCGTTAAGGGGTCTTACTACTTGTCAGACCATTTTATTTGCTATATGCACTTTTGCTGGTCATAGTGCTGAAAATATTACAACTTCAAGTATGTTTTCTTTCATAGGTTATGGAACTTGAGGTAAAGTTAAATGAAGCAGAGCGTGAATATATTGCTGGCGCACCTACTCGAGACAAGCGATCTCCTGCAGAATGGATTCCAAGACCTCCAGAGAAGTATTGCCTCTCTGGGCACAGGGCACCAGTTACTAGGGTATGATATATCTTCTCTCTTAGTAATGGTGTTTTTGTAATTCTGCATGATAATTTTGTGGCGTGTCTTATGTGTCTAATACTTTCATATTTTTTTCTCCTTATAAGTGTTGTGATTTAAGTGGTGTGATTTATTTTCAGGTAATTTTCCACCCTTTGTATTCTGTGATGGTATCTTCAAGCGAGGATGGAACTATTAAAGTTTGGGATTATGAGACCGGAGACTATGAAAAGACATTAAAAGGTCACACTGACAGTGTTCAAGATATTGCTTTTGATCACACTGGCAAATTCCTTGGTAAGGAAATTATGTATTAAATTTAGCCTTTATAGTCATGGAAAAAAAGAACTTTGGAGACACTTACTTTGGTTGTTACATTATCGAAGTTTTTCATGGACATTATTCTTCCTTGTTAGATATTTCTTTGACAGATAATGTTTTATTTATTTGGTTTGAATTCTATATATTCCAAGGTTGCACATGATTAGCTAGTTGCACATAATGATTTATATGCAGTAAGATTACCAGCTTTCTCATTCTTTAACCAAACTTGTGGAAAGACAATATAAACACAACATGTGAAAAATGACAAGCAAACCTAATGTCTTTGAATCAAGGACTTTCTCGGCATCGAACTGATAATCAGGTTTCTCCAGTGTGTTATCATGTTTGACTTTTTTTTTTCGACACCAGTCTCCTGTAGCGCTGATATGTCAATCAAGCTGTGGGACTTCACATCTTACGAGTGTGTCAAGACGATGCATGGCCACGACCACAATGTATCCTCAGTCACCTTCATGCCCTCTGGAGACTACCTCCTCAGTTCCTCCAGAGACAAGACCATCAAGATGTGGGAGGTTGCTACAGGGTGAGGGCATTGTTACCAAGATTGTTTATCAAGTAGATGATTATATGTGATCCATAATAAGTTATGATTGGAAAGACAAATTGCTTTCTTACATGTTTAAGGTTATTCAGGTATGATGAAATATCCTTTCCCTTAAAAGGAAAAAGAAAATTAAATCTGCACAGGGGATAGATATTAAAAGTCTGTCAACGGTATGTGTAATCTTGGCAGATATTGCGTGAAGACTTTCACAGGCCACCGGGAGTGGGTGAGGATGGTACGGGTGTGTAGTGATGGCTCCCTTATTGCTTCCTGCTCCAATGACCAGACAGTGCGCGTGTGGCTAACAGCAACAAAGGAGTGTAAAGTAAGTTTTCTTGTCTTTTTCACCTCCCCCCCTCTTTTTTTCTAATCTATTATTCTTTCAATATGAGTCAAGAAGCAGAGATTTCATTTGAAATGTCAAGTGTCTTCATTTACAATTTCCAAATAGTGTAATACTAGTAAAACAAAGATAAGCAGTTTGGCATCTCTTTTCTAATGATATGTTTAGAGGTAGAAATAATCAATATTCTGTATCGATGAATTGGAATGTAATCTGGGTTTATAACCAACAGGCTGAACTCCGAGAACACGACCATGTGGTTGAGTGCATTGCGTGGTGTGAGGGCAGTGCGTGCACTTCTGTTAATGAAGCTGTCGCAACAGATAACCGTAAACCTAATTATAAGGGCCCATTCTTGATTTCAGGGTCAAGAGATAAAACAATTAAGGTTAGTTTGAGAGAATAGGTGAATGTTGTAATATTATATATCTGGATATTGGTAAGTACGTAAAGATGAACAAATATTATCGCAAACATAAGAACTTGCTGAAAGTGAACTACTAGATGCTGTCTATTTATATAGACTTGTGTGTATATATTTTATATTTTAATTCATGTAAATTAACCTAATGTTTATCTTGTGTTGCAGTTTTCAGCTTATTTGTTGTTGTAAATATAACCAGAAGGCTTGGGAATATCAAGAGCAGGCATACTTCCTATAAAACACTTTGAACATATTTACAAGATAAAGGCTGGGGGAAATTTTAGATCTTGCTTTTCATTGATGTGTGCATCAACTGATACTTACCTTAACCATGTCCCTTGTGCTTCAGATATGGGATGTTGGCGTAGGACTTTGCCTCTTCACTCTGGTTGGTCATGACAACTGGGTGCGCGGTCTCCTGGTGCACCCAGGAGGGAAGTATATTCTCTCAGCCTCAGATGACAAAACTGTACGCATGTGGGACATAAAGAACAAACGATGCCAAAAAACTCTGGATGCTCACTCCCATTTCTGTACATCATTAGGTAAGTTTTGTGATCTTAAGTTGTTGATAAATTTCCGTGTTTGCAATTTGCTTTAGAAGGTGCAAGACGTACACATGTGATTAACCATGTGAATTAAACTCATTTTAGATATGCACCGGAGTGCCCCTTATGTGATCACGGGCAGTGTGGACCAGACGATCAAGGTGTGGGAGTGCCGCTAATGATGGAATTGAAGGAGCCATCCCCACCTCCCCCTCCCCAGCTTGCTGGTCACCCCTTCTCCCTACTGCATGCTGCCATCGCTGCTACAGATGCCGATGTTGCTGCTCCCCAGGTTGCTTCTACTCCCACTCTTCTGACACCTGAGCTGCTGTCTATATTACACCCATCTGAGGCCCTTCCACACCCTATGTTCATTCCTTGTTTTTCTCACATGGGTGGTAGGTGCAGTATATTTCCCCTTGGTAAAAAAAAATGGACTGATCCAGTGTAGCCAGTAGCCAGTGTGCAGTGCGAGACAAGTGGCACAATATGTGTGGGAGGAGAAAGCCCCCTAAGTAATTTATTATTTTAATTTATTATTAATACTGATGTAATAATACAAGCACCAAACCCTTTGCGGCACTTTGGGTACGGTTGCTGATAGAACGGAGGAAGTTGTAAGATGTGTCCAGGGTGGGTATAGAGCACTGTATATAGATGCTTTTGTATTGCCTCTTTATCATGCACTGATGGTGGAGGCAGTAAGCTGAAGGAAGGGTGGCAAGTTATAGAGTGATGTGTTGCTGATCGTTTGTTGTTTTACGCCAAAGAAGAGAAAGAGGTGTTTCTTCAAAAACCAGTGAATATATTAGTGAAGTTCACTTCTGTATCAAACAGATGGTACCAGTGATGATTCATTCCCAGGTGTTCAAAAACAAAACTTGGCTGATCATGGATTATTATTTACGATTTGTAAATATTCGGTAGGAGTAAATAGTTAACAACTATAAAAAAAAAAAATTGGAGATCATGGAACTGCAACGAAGGTAGTGGGTACAGTCAAGGGTTAATGCAGACATGCAACTGTCTCTTCTCATACTTAGATGTGGCAGACTGGGTTTACGCTAAACTGTAAAGGAAGTTTTTCATGTGAGTCATATTCTAGTTTTTATTATTGATATTTAATAGTTTACCTGTCAGTAGGGACAGAAAAGGTGAAAGTTTAGATTGGTTATTATTTATTTACTTGAATGACAGAGAACTGTCTAAAAAGTTTAAAAGGAAACTCAGGTCTGTCCGTCTTATCGTATGAGACTTCCACATGTGATCAGTGAATACTGGAGTACAGGAGAGGCTAGAACAGGTGGTCTGGTGCTACATTAGTGTTTACCTGCTTCGTGTGGCTCACTTAAGGTGTCAGGGTCTCTAACATCCTATAGTTGACTTTCATTGAAGCAGGTTGAAATTTTTACTTCGGTTGTGTCTTGTGTCCTGCTAGGCTTCAGCACCCAGCTCCTCTAAAACATCCCGTAGCTGGTTTGTGCTTCAATGTATTCTTTCTTTACATTTTCCCTCATACTTGCCTTTTCCGCATTTCATGACAAATCTTTAGCAGTCAAAATGTTTATGACCTGAGGCACAAATGTGCCTTTTTGTATTACTAACATGCTGTGATTACCTTATATAGTCTTTACATTTACAGAGCTTTAGTATATTTTTTCTTTTTGTACTATTTAACAAAACCATTTGTTTTACTAGCACTGAGCTTCAGTTACTATCAATTGTGATTCCTTGAATGATTGCCTAGGAACTGGATATTTATCCTTGGAACACAAAGCGAGACCTGGTGGGCAGCCTCAGGGCAAGGGACAGCCTAGTATTTGATAGTGCTAATGATAGCATTTGACAGTGATTCAGTGACCAAACCTGCCCTGGAAAAAGCCTTAACCTGCACTGCAGATAGGGATTATTGCATGAAGCATACCTTTTACATACCAGACTAGTTGAGTAAGAGTGTAGTTGATGCTGGCTTTGCGTTATGACAACTAGAAGTGGCTGCCGTGGTGGCTGACTTGACTACACCGATGTTGCATAATAATTTTGTCATGTTAAGCCATGGAAGGCTTGGCAGTTGTGTGTGTATGCATTAGTCATTCACATGTGTATACCAGTGTAGATCTGAAGCATAAGTGATTCTGTCATTACTTGGCAGCAGAGGTGATTGTCAGGTTTTTGCTGCTGTAGTCATCAGATGCCCGCTGAATGTTGTTCATCATTTGACTCCTGCTCCTCTCACTAGTGCATAGCCAAATAGATTGTAAGTGCATTTGGTGCAGATAATTACTTTAGAATTTTTTTCATTAATGTTATTACAAGGGTTATTTTTTATATTTATCTTTTAATATTATTATTGTTATTGTTATTTTTATCACTATGAATATAAAAGTATTATTATTGTTATAATAGATATTATTATTGTGATAAGGTAATACATCAGTATCATTATTATTTTTTTTTATAGAATTTATTGATCATGATTATATTATAGAATTTCTTAATTATCTTTTAATATTAGATATTTATCTTCACCTGCTAAGAGTGAAATTGCAAATATTTCTCAAAGGGATAGAGGGTTGAAGATGCAAAGAACCTGCTGGAGAATTTGGGGCACGGGACAGCTGACGCTTTCTCCTAACATTTGTGTACTTAGTGACAGCAAACTGTAGGACGGGTCTGACCCGAATGCCTTGCTCGATGCCGCTATTTGTAAAGGTAATTTGGTGTCCGACCTTCCTTAACCCATCTAGGCCAGACATGTCTAAGCAGTATATCCGGCAGCATTGTCTTTCATCAAGCAGACCACTGGCTTAACACCATGTTATTAGTTGCTGCTTCATTATTGATTCATGTTCACATTCCATAGATGGTGGTGAGCATTTGCTGTTCACCCTTAAGGGTAGAGAATTGACTTTAAATACAGTAGGATGTTTAATCGTTTTTTTAATTGAGTGCAAGATTTTAGCTTGGCCATAAAAATTTGTCTGTTTCTGAAAGGTAATGCTTGCTGACATATATTATATATGAAATAACTAACCCAACTTTTGTCACCATATAGTCACATACACACACTAATAACGTATCTTTGATGTTCATATTATAACTTTGATGATAATAATCAGTGAGTCCATGTATCTTATTTATTGTTTCCATAACCATCTACGCTGGTAAGACAACTTGCCTGTAATATGAGAGTGTAAAGCAAAGCAAAGGAATTTGCTCTTTGGTCTGACGTTGACGATATCGCCAATGGTGTCTTCGGCATTTTTCCAATAAAGTTAAATTTTCTTTTTTTAAAAAATTAACATTATTGAAAACTTTTCCAAGTCTCCCTGTGATATCGCTCTTGCCTCGTACCATCCAGAGTACACAGCCAGGGCAACACCAGTCAGGATATGGAGAACAAACTAGTAATGATAGCGCAAAAACATGCAAAAGTCCTTCAATGTAACTATGTTTAACCCCTTGAACAGACTGACTTGGGATCACCTTTACTTCTCATCCCTCCTTGAATTCCATGGTATTGTAGTTCTCCCTTCAGTCAGGCAAGATGATAGGCTTTGACAATAGACTTCTCTTAAGCATAACTCTTTAGATATTTCCTTTTGGTGACTTGATCTGTGGATTTGGGATAGACAAAAAACGAAAAGAAAAAAATGGATGATGAAGCAGGTAGAAAATACAAAGAAATGTTTGTAGACCAGGAAGAGAAGGAATTGAAAGAACAAGAGAACATGAATAACAAGAACCCTGCCTAAATCATCAGATCCTGTCCCATGTTGAAGTTACTTTCTTGTTATCCACCAGCAGTAAAATATCAGCTGAAACGCTCGTCACCACAAGAGGAGCTGGCCAGCAAAATCCTCCGAGCAGCTTTCAGGCACAGATTTTGAGTTCACTTCTATTTCAGGTGGTCAGGGCTTCTGCTCTTGCTAGGTTAGAGAGACGTCTCACCCTGAATGTGTACAGGCACCCTGATTGAGCACACAAAGCTAAATTGTTTTAGTTAGCCATTGTGTATAATACTAAAGAAAAATAAAATAAAATAAAAAAACGGTGAACTATAAGTTTTCCCAGATGCCCATTAAAATTGATGTCTAACATTGTCTTTTAGTGATCCATTTGATCAATTAGTCAAGTGTGTCAGTTGAGTCTCTTGTCATTACGATTCTGGGTTTGGGATTGATTATTCTTTTCATTATTTTTACTAGTTTCCTTTTTTATATATATAATTTTTTTTAGTAAGTGATCAGTGTCCAGTGTTTTAACTTCTGTTTGTTACAAAGAATGTATTTTAAATCCTTTAGCCCTACTGAAAAATGCCACTCAACATTTGTGAGGATCTTTGAATGATTTGCATGACAAAGTTTTATTTTGCAGCTTTGTTGCTTTATTTTTTATCAATCTTATTTTTTGTATATTAGTGTTGGTTGCATGTTTTTGCCTCCTTTGTGTGACAATAGGAGAAGGTCTACTTCATTTCTTTGTGAAAAATAAGCAAAAATATAATAAAGTTGTGGGACAGTGAAAAATATGTTTAGTTTTATCAGAGAGATTGTCATATATATATATATTAATAGGAACTTGAATGTCAAACTTGTATATGAGATGTTATGAGCACCATGAAATGCGTTTATTTTTATTTTTTGTTATTATTGACAAATTATCAAACAGGGCAGCTCTGATTTCAAAACTAATTAAAATATATTGACAAGCATTATATTTTGTTTTTTTTTCTTGAAGTTCCATGGCTTAATATGCTTTGTATGAGTTTGTTATTGCTCTCCAGTATGTAAATAATTAACTTCCTCTCTTCTGTACATTTATTCTGTAAACGTAAGTAACAGTAAATAAACTCGATGTACACAACAAATTTATTTTCCATTTCCATTTTTTGTTTTATGGTTTAGCTTGTATTTGCTTCTTTTGAGTTTTCATTTCTCTCGTCTTACTTTCTGTTGATTCTTTGCGGTTTTTGGACAAGTAAATAAACAGTGAGTATTGTGTTATAACTTTAGAATTATTGCAGAAAGGAAATAAAACTTCACCCTCTTATGGTATATCTTGGTCATTGTTAACCAGTTATTGCAGTAAGTACTAGGAGAAGACTAAAGTCACCAGCTTGATATCACTGGATGGCTACTCCTTCAAGAAACTATTTTGATTGACAGGAGCCTACTACTACTGATGGGGACAGTTTCTATCAGTGCCAGAATTAT